TTATTGGTTTTAGAGAGGAGGGAGATGGAGAGAGAGATAGAAACATCAAAGACGAGAGAGAATCATGGATCGACTGCCTCCTGCACGCCCCACACTAGGGATACAGCCCGAAACCCAGGCATGTGCCCTTGACCAGAATTGAACCCGGGACCCTTCAGTCCGCAGGCTGACGCTCTTGTCCTCTGAGACAAACCAGCTCAGGTGATTTTATCTCTTTTTAAAGGATGACAGTGAGAGGCTTCTGGGGCAGAGAAACGCTGTCTTCCTGAAAACTTATTTACACTGAGGTATCCATGAGATACACAGCTTAAAATGTAGTGGTTCTCAACTCTGGCTGTTTGGAACAATCATCTGAGGGGTGTGTGTGTGTGTGTGTGTGTGTGTATGTGAAAGTAGTGAACATGTTTTCATAAAAATGATACATGCTCAATTCTCAAACAAAACAAGCAATATAGAAAAGTACAAAGAAGGGAGCAACAAATCCCTCCCTCTTTAGAAAGCCGCTTCCTGAGGTAGGACTTTTATCTGTTCTGTTCTCTGCCGTCATCCCCGCACCTAGGCCTTCCTGGCACAGAGTAGATGCTGCATACAGCCTGTCACGCAGCGTTAACATTTGCTGACTGTCATTTACACAGAGCACTTTGGAGAGGGAAAGAGGTAGAGGTAGAGAGAAAGGTAAGTAGGTCCAAATATTTTTAAAAGATGGGATTGTACCACATCTATGATATTTTAAACTAAAAGTATTCCATTTTTCTTGAGTTGGGCAGGAAAGAAAATCTTGAAAAATTGCTGAATTTTAGATAAATTTTTACTTTCCACAAGAGAGATTAGTTCATAATGAATTTCTCTAATTTTAAGAAAAAATGATTATGAATATCATTAAGAGAATGGGGTCTTAGGGAAGAAGAAGAATTGCTTCACTGGGGACAGGCTCAATCATTTCCTGAGATGAAAAAGGTAACTATTCCCCTTACACATCTCCCCCATCCCCAACTCCTGATTTAAAAAAATATATATATTTTATTTATTTTTTACAGAGAGGAAGGGAGAGGGAAAGAGAGTTAGAAACATAGATGAGAGAGAAGCATCGATCAGCTGCCTCCTGCACACCCCCTACTGGGGATGTGCCAGCAACCAAGGTACATGCCCTTGACTGGAATCGAACCCGGGACCCTTCAGTCCGCAGGCAGACGCTCTATCCACTGAGCCAAACCAGTCAGGGCCCAACTCCTGATTTTGATTCTAATATGTTCACTTGGTCAAGGTTTATAACACGTCTACTCTGTTCGGCCACCATAATTCTCCTGGTATTTCATCTTAGTCCTGTATTTAAGTAGATTCCATTGCATTTTTAATTTTTTTGTTGTTAATCCTCACCTGAGGATATTTTCTCATTGATTTTTAGAGAGTACAAGGGAGAGAGACAGAGGAAGAGAAACAGTGATGTAAGAGAGACACATCGATTGTTTGCCTCCCACACGCACCCCCAACCAGGGCTGGGGATCCAGCCTGCAACGTAGGTACATGTCCTTGACCGGAATCGAACCCAGGACCCTTCCTCAGGCCGATGCTCATCCACTGAGCCAAACCAGTTAAGGTGATTCCATTGCATTTTTAAAGCACATTTTGTCCCTGAGTTTTGCATTTGGAGTCATCTCTTGTGTGTAACAGGAAAAACTGGACTGACTTTGAAATGGACAAGAAAAGACGCCTGGGTGTGTTCTTTACTTAGGGTCCCCATGCCTTTAGTGACTGTTTTTGGTCTTTGAGCAAATCTAAGTTGTAGAAAACTTATTGCAATGCAAATGATTCCTGTCCATAGAAATGCAAATGACGTTTGTCCAGTGGAATGCAACTAATGGTTGTCCTGTGACATTCCTGCTGAATTTTAGATAAATTTTTACTTTCCACAAGAGAGATTAGTTCATAATGAATTTCGCTAATGTTAAGAAAAAATGCTTATGAAAATCATTAAGAGAATGGAGTCTTAGGGAAGAAGAAGAATTGCTTCACTGGGGACAGGCTCAATCATTTCCTGAGATGAAAAAGGTAACTATTCCCCTTACACATCTCCCCCATCCCCAACTCCTGATTTAAAAAAATATATATATTTTATTTATTTTTTACAGAGAGGAAGGGAGAGGGAAAGAGAGTTAGAAACATAGATGAGAGAGAAGCATCGATCAGCTGCCTCCTGCACACCCCCTACTGGGGATGTGCCAGCAACCAAGGTACATGCCCTTGACTGGAATCGAACCCGGGACCCTTCAGTCCGCAGGCAGACGCTCTATCCACTGAGCCAAACCAGTCAGGGCCCAACTCCTGATTTTGATTCTAATATGTTCACTTGGTCAAGGTTTATAACACGTCTACTCTGTTCGGCCACCATAATTCTCCTGGTATTTCATCTTAGTCCTGTATTTAAGTAGATTCCATTGCATTTTTAATTTTTTTGTTGTTAATCCTCACCTGAGGATATTTTCTCATTGATTTTTAGAGAGTACAAGGGAGAGAGACAGAGGAAGAGAAACAGTGATGTAAGAGAGACACATCGATTGTTTGCCTCCCACACGCACCCCCAACCAGGGCTGGGGATCCAGCCTGCAACGTAGGTACATGTCCTTGACCGGAATCGAACCCAGGACCCTTCCTCAGGCCGATGCTCATCCACTGAGCCAAACCAGTTAAGGTGATTCCATTGCATTTTTAAAGCACATTTTGTCCCTGAGTTTTGCATTTGGAGTCATCTCTTGTGTGTAACAGGAAAAACTGGACTGACTTTGAAATGGACAAGAAAAGACGCCTGGGTGTGTTCTTTACTTAGGGTCCCCATGCCTTTAGTGACTGTTTTTGGTCTTTGAGCAAATCTAAGTTGTAGAAAACTTATTGCAATGCAAATGATTCCTGTCCATAGAAATGCAAATGACGTTTGTCCAGTGGAATGCAACTAATGGTTGTCCTGTGACATTCCTTATCCACTGTCCCAATTTCCTTTGAACCACTTGGAACATACTATTTGTTCCCTAATTACTTGACTAGTTAAATAAAAATGTTGATATGTATTCATTTTATACTGTATGAGAGTCATAATTTTGCCTTTTAAAAAACTGACCCTTGCCCTAGCCAGTTTTGCTCAGTGGATAGAGCATCGGACTGAGGACTGAAGGGTCCCAGGTTTGATTCCCATCAAGGGCACATGCCCAGGTTGCGGGCTTGATCCCCAATAGGGGCCGTGCAGGAGGCAGCCAATCAATGATTCTCTGTCATCACTGATGTTTCTATCTCTCTCCCTCTTCCTTCCTCTCTGAATTCAGTAAAATATATTAAAAAAAATAAAAAATAAAAAACTGACCCTT